TGGCCAAAATGAGTACAAGACAACGCCGTCCAATATGCAAAAGTCACTTTTTGAGCCTCTTAGGCTATACCACCCGTGAACCAACGCCGCCATGATGCAAGACATCCCTCCTATACTGGTATCAATTGCGAGAATGAACCCTAGAAGTCTCTAAAGACCGCTACAATATCGTCGAGCTTTCCAACTTGGCCGAGTAATTTCTTTTCGAGGTCGAGAAACTGGACGTATTCATTATATATGTCACCTCTCAGTTTCTCTTCCTCCATTCCCTGAACATCTTTACGTTCGGCAACCGAGAGAACGCTTGCCTTCTTACGACGCTCGACATCCAATCGCTGTAAACAGCGTACCATGGACTTGTAGGTATTGTCTAATGTTCGCTGCAATGTTCTTTCGAGGTCGAAAAACCAAAAGAAAATTGTCCGGGCGGCCGCTCGGTTGTTGTCCCGAGGCACCTCTTGCACGTCCAGGAATCCCGCCATCTCCATCTCCGCCATCTTAACATGCACATCTGGCTTCTTCATAAGAGCCAAACTGGGCAATGTTTTGTCGTCGATCTTCCCCTTTTCTCTAAGAATTCGAGTGAGACGCAGACCCCGACGACCAAAGCGGTTCTCGATAAGCGTATCAAGTTCGAGGAACTTTAGATGCTGCATGAGCGGTTCGAAATCGACTGTCCATTCGCCGAAATCAAGACTGCCACAGTGTCGCACAAAACCCTCCTTACTTTCGGCAAGGATAAGTAGATGTTGTCGCATCTGATGTAGCCGCTTAGTGCCGATCGGAACGCTGTCGTCCACTTGCATTTTGACTTCGTCTGAACCATTCTGACCATGTAATCCAAAGCTGACAGCTGCCTCCCCGCTGGGGTCGTAGTCTTCGTCGTCCGACTCAACGATTTCTTCCCCTTCCTGGAGCTCTTCTTTAAGGGTCGAACCCTTAAGTTGCGGAGGAAACCGTCTAATCTTTTCTGCATGGCGAATATCAACGGCACCATCTTCATGGAGCATTCCAACCCCGCCTGATACATCAATAGAAGGACTTAGGTGCTCAAAAATCTCTTGAGTAGTGACACGGGGTCCTGTAGAAGCATCGTCGTTCTCATCTTCGACCTCGATTGATTTATCGGTTTGACAACGAGAAATCTTTTTGCTCAGCACGTCAAGTAATGTTGCGTACACCTTTGCTGTAGTATCGCCGATCAAGTCTTCCACATAGCGCTCGAGTTTAAGGTTGCGGAGCTCAACCACACATTTATCATAGTTCACCCGAAGTACGGTATCAAGCTGAGGGGAAATGTTAGCGAATCTCCCCGGCGTAGATCTCCTCGCAGTAGGAACTCACGTTTTTTAGTAAAGTGAATTTTGCTTTTCCGTTGGTAAGTGTACTGGAGGTCGTGCCGTTAGTTAGCTTCCGGCGCTTAGAGCCAGCCCCGTTCTCGAGTTCAAATCCGAGATCATTCTTTAATTCCGTGTTTTTAAGGTGAAAATCCCTTAGCTTGTCTCTGACATACTTGTCGAATTCGGCCGTCTGCTTGGCTCCTCGGATGCCAGTGGGATAGTAGCTAGTCAGGAAGTCTTGCTCAATTGTGCTTCTGAGGTCCTGTGGAGATTGGTACATCGCTAGCGTAAGCGGCTCGAGAATACCAGCCGCAATAAGATGTGCGAGACTCTCGTAGGCTTGATCCTCTAGGTCGATACGTTCATCCCCTATCTTTATATCGCCTATACCATTGCTAACGCCATTGCCGTTGACATGGTGGCCATTTTGGGATACACCGTTGACAGTCTTTTGCTGCATAGTACGTCGCTCCTTGAATGCTGCGACCAAATCGGAAATCTTCGTGTGGCCCTGAACAAGAACCTCGTGCACGAGAGCGTTCGCATCGGATCCATATTTCTCACGAACCATGTCAAGGATCTTTCCCGTTCGGACAAGATTGTAGGCAGCATGAGGGTTTGCGTCATAGTATGTGATACCCGATTCTTGGTCCGTAAAGTGGAAAATGAGATTTAGCTGGATGAGCACAGCGATCCCATGGCGCACTTGTCGCTGGTTGAGCGATGTGTGCTGTGCTAATTGCGCGATGGTCGACCTGCCTCTTGCTAGAAGATCCGCAAACATGCGCTGCGAAGTTGAAACTTGTTAGCTTTAAGGCTACGTAATTAGAGGCCCTAGAAGCTCTAGAGGATATAATCTAAAGGAAGCATTACCGATGGGAGCTGGCCGTACAGCTCATTGATTAGCAGAACACAAAGTTCTGCAACATTTTTTGTCTAGTAATTATAGATATTATTAGCTTTTTGCTGGATACAATAGGGATACATTTCTGCGTGTTGTTGTGAAAGCTGTAGCGACTTGAAAAGAACCATCACTTACCACTAACATGACTGGCTGAGCTTGGGATTACGCTGCGAGGTGAATAGATAGGATGGGATTTTAGGACTTGTCGAAGGGGTTGGCTTCTAGAGATCCTCTCACTATCTCTAGAGCACTACAATTACTACCGTGGCTTCATTGAAGAATTTGGTAGGAAAGAGAGAAAGAAAGGTGCGCCTACGAACACGAAGACGGCGCAAGAAGTTTTGGTATGTAAAGTAGAAAGTTGGTTGAGAAGAATGATTTGCGCAGCGCGAAGTGAACAATAGCGTGTAAAAATAATTTTGATGCAACTACTTTTTTGAGGATAGCGGGGAATTCTAATTAATGGTCGAAGCTTCCTGTCCCTCCAGCCCTCTGGGTCTTAGCAGCCGTAGCAGGCATGGAAGCATTGTAGGTACCTAAGCCATTGTACATGTACATATGAAATAAGCTCCCCGCCCCAAAGTTTTTTCTCTCTCACTTGACGTTGACTCAATCGGCCAATAGAAGTTATTGGCAAGTGGCTGACCAGACTCTAGCCTCATTAAGCCTCAAATAACGTACCGTAACCGAGAATTTACCGGAATTGAGCATCTTTTTGCTCCGACTTGGAAGCTTTCAACGATCTGCGGATTTAAAAGCTGTTGTCGCAGACTTCAATAGCCAATTGTTGACGGCATCGCCCTCTAAAATGTTCTCCCGATCGGCTCTCTCCAGAGGTGCCCAGCTTGCCGCTCGTAGGCAAGGCTGTTCGCAGCTTGCTCAGCGCCGAGGTTATGCTGCTGCATCTTCGGCACCATCCACTTTCACCTATGACACCACCGAAGTTGCTGGTATCAAGGTAGCCACCAGAGACTTACACGGTCCGACAACAAAACTTGCTGTTGTCGCCAAGGGTGGTACTAGGTATCAGCCTGCTCCTGGTCTAACTGTCGGCCTCGAGGAGTTTGCCTTCAAGGTGAGCGAGTCTACATCACTTATCGTTGTTTTTTCCCGTCGTGAGCTAATTAGATGCAACTATATCAGAACACCGAAAAGCGAACCGCCCTACGTATCACGCGAGAAGCTGAGCTTTTAGGAGGTCAATTAGCCGCATACCATACCCGAGAGGCATTAATTATCGAAGCAAGCTTTCTACGAGAGGACATCCCTTACTTCACCGAACTGCTGGCAGAGGTCATCTCTCAAACTAAGTACACCAGTGAGCTATCTGAAGCCATTGGCTGGCGATAAAATGCTTACATAGTTTATAGCGCACGAGTTTCACGAGGATGTCGAGAGGGTTCTGAAGGTGAAGCAGGCTAAGCTTGCCAACGACGTTTCCGCTCTTGCTCTCGACTCGGCACATTCGGTCGCCTTCCACACAGGCCTTGGCGCTTCCCTATACCCGACGACTTCAACTCCTCTGAAAAGCTATCTGAACGAACACGCCATCGCTGACTACGCGGGAGCCGTTTACGCAAAGCCTAACATCACTCTGGTTGGAGATGGGGCTACGACAACTGCTGTACACAAGTGGACAGAACAGTTCTTCAGCGGCGTACCCGCATCATCATCTAGCTCTACCACGCTTAACGCGAAATCTACAACGTACTACGGTGGCGAGCAGCGTACGCCTCACACTGCCGGAAACTCTCTAGTCATTGCCTTCCCTGGTTCCAGCTTCGGCTCTTTCAAGCCTGAAATTGCAGTCCTAGCAGCCCTGCTTGGTGGTCAGCCTAATGTCAAGCGGTCGCCTGGCTTCACTCTCCTGTCCAAGGTTGCGGCCTCGGCACCCGGCATAGTTGCTTCGGGCACTAACCTGGCTTACTCGGACGCCGGATTGTTGACTATTCAAGTCACCGGTGCCGCCGCATCAGTTCGCAAGGCTGGTGAAGAGACTGTTAAGGCTCTTAAGAGCATCTCCGAAGGTAGCCTTAGCAAGGAGGATCTTACCAAGGCGATCGCCAAGGCAAAGTTTGACGCGTTAGATGCGAGCCAGTCGGGTGTGTCAGCGCTCCTGTCTGTCGGTTCTGGTATTATTCATACCGGCAAGCCCTTCCAGATTGCCGAGACTGTTGGCTCAATCGACGGCATCACAGCAGACAAGCTCAAGACGGTATGTTTATCTAATTTTCTCCATTGTTATTATTTACAAATGCTAACTGTTACTATAGACGGCAAAGTCCCTTCTCGAGGGCAAGGCCACCGTGGCTGCAGTTGGTGACTTGAACGCTCTGCCATTTGCTGAGGAGCTTGGGTTGAGGGTATAGACGGGGAAATTTGGGCAGCAAAAGTGTACCAACAGATTAACCCACCGCTGTAGAGTCGAGTCGAGTCGAGCCACATGTGCATATAGTAAATCCCCTAGAGTTTTCTTTCAAGTTCGAACACATTCAACTACCCGATTTATAGGTAGGTAGCACGCTTTATACTTGGGCATGCGATGGTGATTAATTTGTGAGCGGCCTTGGTCTATAATTACATATACATAATAAGCTCTATGTATCAAAGACCTACAGAATCCCAAATATACAATTTATTGGTATTTCTAAAGGAGGTTTCTTTGCAGGGAGGTTTGAGTTGGCGGTCTAAGTACCTAGGTACCTAATGTACCTAACGAAGTATAAAGATTTCTTAATCACGTGAAAGCTCGGGCCACTACGTACCTTACTGATAGGCTTCGGCTAACGGTCTTTCTCGATTCTACCGCCGCAGCTATCTTTTGATTCCGTGCATACAAACGAATCTTCAATTAATCCCTGATCCCCAATTGAACCTCGAGCAACTGTCAACATGGTGTTCGCGTGGAAAGCCGCTGGTTTGAGGTAAGTCAATTCTCCTCATATATCTCGTTATGTCCCCTAGCAAACCGAATTTGCCTGGTTTGCTAACCGCTCCTCCGATCGAACAGCTACAACCGCTACCTGGCCGTCGCATCCCGCGTCGTGCGCCGAAGCTTGAAGGAGGAAAAGAGACTACTTGCCGAACGACGAGGAGATACGGACCTACGATTTGCTAAGTGGGAGGTGAGTTGACTTTTCCCGACAAGTGGAGATTTGGCACATGGGAATCTGGAGTTTAGGAGTTAGTAACTGACGGACTATATGCCTCAATTTACAGAACGGCAAGATGGGTGAGCTGAGACCCTTAGCTGAAGCCAACGCCGCCGCCGCTGCTTCATCCGCTTCCAGTGGTTCGTCATAAACTACGAAACTACGAAACTACGAAATATACGAATCCTTGATGAGAGTAAAACTTGCGAGGATGGTTAGGACCTATAAGAGACAGATGCGCATACGCATGCGGATAGACAAGAACAACGGTAGCAAAACACCATTATGCCGACCGCCTCGTGTATAGCTGTATAAAATAAAACAGTTTCATCCTAAAAATGAGTCCCTTGGATTTACCTACAATAGACAGTAAATTCGTGCGTATATGTCGTATATGTCGTATATGTCAAGGTCAATTCATGTTATTAAGCTACATTCGAATTCGGGTAACTAGGCTACTTAAGTAAAGTACATGTATGCAATGCACCTATACATCTATAAAAGGGCAATTGCTATATAGCGATGTCTCCAGGTGGTACTTAGACCGGTTACACCTGTCTTGGTTGACATCGGAAAACGTAAAATCCTTTTATCAAGGGACATGACGTGCAAACTTCAATACCTCATATACATGCAAGAGGTAACAAATCAAATCGCTCTTGTCCGTGTTATGTTGTTCAATGTTGTTTGTATCCCAATGCACCTTTCAATGCACCTTATCTGGTATATCATGTATATTTTGGTACTGCACGTTTCGACACTAAAAATTTACATAGTCAATTACAATTAATGCCTAATTCTAATTTCTAATTACAATCACTTCTTCATTCTTCCATTTCGCCGCGCCATCCGCAAAAAACACCCATCATCACCAATAACAAACATATACATGTGCATCTAACCAACTGACCTGACCTATGGTTACTCTTCAACCCAGAAATCCATAATATCCGCCTATCGCTACTCCTGCCAAGACCAAGGTTAATATCTTGAGCTTTGGAATATCAGGTTCGACAAAAGACTCATAAATCGCATATACGCAGGCTAACAACAAACAGAGCCACGATTGATCTCATAACCCATAAGGGTGACAGTCAAGATGCAACAGCTTAGTATAGTATCACATTCGCCAAACATATCACATCCTGGAGTCAGGGCAACGGATATCACCAAGAAATTTGTCTCTGCCGTAAAAAGTGCGCCCAAGTATTTTAGGACTTGCCCAAGGTATAGTTTGCTAATCTAATGGATAGCTTTGGCACCCGGACAACTCGTCAAAGATGACCATTTTACCCTTTTTGAGTCCGTCGCGGCTCTGGAGGTGAGTCCACATCATCATCTCAAGTCTATAGGATTACTAGATCGTGCCTGCTAAGAGAAATCCCACTAGATCATGGATAAAAAGATGGATAGTGGTGCTCTAGCAGAAGGGGAATCTCTAGACGAAGAATATGACGTTTCTCGTGATCTGCTTCCAGAAGAAATTCTTGGAATTATTGACCAGCTTCTTTGCCTTGAGGTGTGTTATAGATAAGCAACAAAGCTTCTACTCTGAGTTTCTACCGGCCTAACGTTATGATTAGATGGCCTGGCATCTTGGATATCCCCTTTCCCAGACTCTCTTCACGAGCATCTATATAGAGTCGCTCATGAACCCTCACCCAGCCAGTATAGGCGAGGCTGAGTTTATAAGGGATCCCCAGGCCCGCGAGAAGCAACCGAAACTGCTCTTCGTTTTACGGGCTTATTGCCTTGGACTCCTCAAAGCATGTTGTTTCGTAAACGAGCTTGTGAAAGATGAACTTTACTATGAGGTAAGACTGATGGGGCGGAATAATTATCATTTTAATAAGCTACTAAGAATATATAGGAAGAAGACTTTGTCACTAACACGTACGATCGTGATCTACTCATTGATATACCGGTTAGCTCCGTCAATAATATACTACAGCAGGCCCGGAGTGACCTTCGTGCCGCTAGCAATGAAGTTGCGAAGGATATCTCCGCAGCCCTGGACCTTCGGCTTGAGCTACGTATCGCATTCTTAAGGGCCATTGACTTATCAGGCCTGCGGAAATCTAACCCGGATTCCTTGAAGATGCCCTGGGTACAGATGAAAGGTCTACTTGAGCACATTAAAAAGCAGCATTCGCTAGGCAAGCCAGTACCAGAAGCTTTCAGCACTAAACTACAGCGACGGCTAGCGAGCACAATGCCTCCGCGCCCCATGGTCCAGCCTAGCTTTGAAGAGAGTTATGGCCATCTTAAGCGACTTTTCCAAGACGGAGTTGATATCATGGATATTCTGAAGTACTCAGAACCACAAAGCCTTTTGGTAATATCTTCGAGTCGGTTTTATAATAACTGGGTTAACTCCTTTTTTTAGAATTTCGTCTTGTTATTTCAGGCGAGAAAGCCGCAGCCACTAGTTTATATTAGGACACTACTTCAGAATCTCTTATTCAGAGAAATGGTCGTTCTAGGCAACTATAGCATCCGGCAGATAATCGACCATGACCTCTCGATCGTCGTTATGCCCTGTGCACCACAGATCGACGCTTCCTACGATGAAATTGAGGTCCCGACTGATCCCCGTCACCAGACTTCGGCGCAGATGGAAATTTTCCGGCAGCGGGTAGCTGAATGCTATTTGGATGTCTTTAGGATATTCTGCCAGAATAGATGTAGAGTTCGACGCACACTATGCCACAATATCCAAGAGTGGGATATGCTCCAAGTAGACGTCGAGGAGATCGACCAACTTCTCCAAGTCGCCCTAGATGAGAGGCCCCTCGTAACAGATAGAGGCAGTATTGGATTTTCTCTCCCTCTATCATCATGGGCGTATCTCTATAAGCTCAGGCAGATGGAGTGGATCGTCCAACTCGGGTTCGAACTTGAGGTTTACCAGACGGACGAGCTTGCTGGCATGTACTGGTACTTAAATTACCTGGCCAAGACGCGCGCGCAGCACGGTGATCGTATCAAGTCGTTTACGATGCGCAGCCTAGACGAGGCACGCTACGGCCTCGACAGCAGCAGAAAGGGCGATCAAGAGCTACCGCAATACACGGCGGCTAAGGAGCGCGAGTATATGACCTCCTTGACATACTTGCGCATAACTATGCTTGACGCGGCGTGCACGTGGGAATTTGCGGATGGCCTTTGCTGTCTATATACGGCGTTACAACGTCTAAAGCTCATCGCTCCACCGCAGCGCCCCTATAGTACCGATACCATGCGCTATGATCTGCGCATGAAGCCCTTCCGAACAATCACGCTACCCCAGCTACCCACGTTCGACGAGTTTACGCGTGCAACCCTCCAGCCCGAGACTCCAACACCTGATCTACTTAAGTATGCTGAAAGTGCTGTCGGCGGCGCGAAAAAAGGGTATGAGGCCTTAAGTAAGATGTCGGACACACAATCCTTCAGCGTCAACGCGCACGATCAGTGGGTCAGTAATATCCGGGACTGTCTGAAAGCCGCGATCGCGGCAGGCGTTGCGGTCTCAACACTGCAGAGGGCTTTGGATAGAGCCGGGGGGAACGAGGATGGGGATTCACAGCTAAAGCTCAAGGTTGAGATGCCGGCACCCGGGAAAGGGTATCATGACTGGTGGATCGTTCCGAAGCTAGTTCCTGTGGCGTGATTTTTTTCCCCCGGATGCGGATAGTGGATTATAGCTGGGATGAGGATTAACCTAGGTAGTTGGGTGCCGGAAGTTAATTGGGGAAGAGTATTGGGAGATATCGGGTTTTTGGCACATGAGCATACATGGATATCATTCTATTACGGTATTTGGATAATTCCTTTTATTCACTATCCATTGCTTAGTTTCTTCTGGTGCAAATAGGCCTTTTGTTGATACATAGAAATAGATATGACATCTCATTCCCCCTTCCCCTAGCTTTTTCATCCTGATTTACTCATTCATCCCCCCCCTTCTTAATCGTGCTAATGTCAACAAAATGAGTCAAGTTACGATAGACGCTGTTGGGACTACGCCCAAGTAACAAGAGGCCAAGAGCCTCCTATTTCAAAAGATACAATATGTACAGGTTTAAGGCCAGAGCTCATGCAAGTCATAGTAGACGCATTATCAACTGTAGATTAGGTACTTATGCCTTGATGGCCTTTCTGGCCATGGTGCCTCGGAGCTTTATCGTCTGCTCATAAAGAACGTCCTTGAAAGCGAAGAGGAAGGCGGCTGTCAAGACGCTCTGGGTGACTTTAGGGCCGATACCTAGAGTAACAACAAGTCAGTATATCATCAATCGACTAAATAACGCCCGTCGAAGGGTTAGATAATTAAGAAGATAGGTATTAAGCATACCCTTATACAGGCCGGAATAACCCTCTTCCTTGATAACTCGCCGAATGGCCTGGGTCATACCCTCGCGCTTCTGGCCATCATCGGCAACATGCATTTGGCTCTTAACAGTGATATATGGGTAGGTGATGGAGGTGGCAAATAGCTTGCCGAGAGCGCCTAGGAAGAATGCTACGGTTGGCGTTACGTTGTGCTTCCGCCTTCGTTCGTACGCATTCTTGAGCTGCTCGAATAGCGTGTACTGCAATATGGGGTTGATAACGAGCACGAGAGCCGGCACGACGCCGCGGAAGAGCGCCTGCGGACCCTCGTCGCGTAGTAGTGCTGATAGGGTACCCAGAGTAGTCGGCTGCTTCTTCTTCTTCTCTACGGGAGCGCCGCCGGTATTCTCCTCGGCCTCGATTTGTCCCTTGCGGGTTGTCATGCGCGTGTTCACGACCCAGATAGGGTTGGTTAGGATGACAGTGGCGGAACCAGCAATGGCACCGGCGATAATGGCTTCGACGGCGGTGAGCTTCTTAGAAGCCCGTCCGGCACGGGAGGCAGCGGCCTCGAAGAAGCCGCGCGTCCACTCGTACCAATAGTAGTAGACGAAGTTGGTAACACTAATACCGAAGACGGCGCTAGAAAGGCCCGCGTACAGCCCCGAGACGCCCTCGCGTGCAACGATCTGTTTTACGGCGGCTAGGAAGGCGGTCTCGGCTCGCTTAGACTCGACCTGCGCACGGGTAGAGAGGGTGATGAGCGGGTACGTCAAGACAATGGAGAGGATCCCGCCGCCGGCGCCGGCAAGGGCGTGCGCGACGTTATCATTCTGAGGGACGGCGGGCTTGGACGACGCCATCGTGATTGTTGGTTTACGAAGTACCTCTGTAAGTAAGGGATGTCGGGATTATATCAATCTGAAGCTTTCCAGATGAAAAATAAATTAACAAGACGGGTTTGATGGAAAATAGAAAATGGAAAAGGGAAAAGTCAAAATGTTATTACACCCGACTTACACGTCGGAACATTGAAAGAGTAACAATAATAATAAACGGTAAGCGGCTGCTAAGGTTAAAGCTTTATCGAGTTCAAATTGAAGTTGAGGTCCCATTGAAGCTGGGAGCCGAGGTCCGATTGCATTGCATCACAATGCGGCTTAGTCCCCTCTGTTTGGCTGTTTAGTGGGATGTAGCCCTGCGATCCCCTGTAATCCCCTGTAAATCCACCTGAGCCCGAGCCGAAATCCGCCTGTAAGCGACCTGTAAAGCATTTACCTCGCCCCCCCATCTAGCATCTGGCACGAGGTCGGCATTCTTCCCCATGCTCTTCTCCCCGGCTTTGCCCCGCATTCAATTCGTTAAAGAAGCTGAGACCTCGAAGTTTCCCGACTTTCACATGCGAGATGGGATTGCTTGTTATCTTTTTATCTTGTGATGATGATAATGATGATAATGATGCACTCACTAGCCTAGGTTTACATAATACGTCAAAGGAGTAAGATAATACGTCAAAGGAGTAAGGCACCATAAGGCTGACCTAGCCCAAATACTTAAATGCCTGATATTAGTTACATTCTTTTAGTTACATTCTTCCCAATCTCAATCTCAATCAATCATCAACATTGACACCACCCTAAAAGGCCAAATATGCCTTTAGGTATTCTTAGCAACGCCGACCCTAAATTTGAGACAGCGCACGACAAAGATATCAGAGCGTGCCGTGATACAAGTTTCATGATGGCATGCAAAGAGACCGTGATAGTGGCTGGTGGTAGATGAAGAGATCATACCGTGCCCACGGAGCGTAGGTTTACGAATATCTACCACCCGAATCCTACTTTGCTAAAGAGGTATTTGCCCAATGGACTGGCAAGGCAGACAGACAGAAGCCTGCCTACCTAAGGTATGTTTTACAGAAAAAGGGGTTAATTAGGTACTACATCTGCTAGCAACTCCCAGTGCATTAAGCTTATGTACCTAATGCATCCGTATGCATACAAGTCACGTGGATATGTGCCCAAAAATAGCAGGGTCACCACGGTACATGCACAATAAAATCTCCCGGCCCATCTAAAACAGCCGTGCGCTCGTGGCACCAGCCTCCGCCAGCGCGCTCTCAAAATAGAATTCGGCATAATAGGCATTGGACACCGGAAGGAGGCTTCACCAACCATTCTGTCTCTTTTTTTCCCCATTAACTTTCGCCACACCCGTTTTTAACAGCTTCAATAACGCTCAAGACGGGAAATCCGCTATTATTTTATTTTCCTTTTATCATTTGACCGCTACATTTCCCACGAGTTAAAACGTCTCTGCTATTTATTGCTAACTATCACGCATCGTTACGGAGCGAATGTTTATTATTTATCACTTATACCAGGCTTACATGATCACAATCACATCGACTTAGGGGCCAATTGCGAAATACGAGAGATGAGACAGACAAGTTGTGTTACACACAAACACAGACTTGATGAGAATAGTAAAGCTACCTTATTTGTTACTCGTGTTGCGAACTTCGAAGAATATCAAGTCTATAACATTACCAACCATTACGTGAGAACTTCAGCCAGTCAAGCGCGCCCAGCATCTCCCCCCTATAATCGTACCTCTCCCCAACTATCCATGGGGATAATTGCGCACTTCGCTATCTTATGATATTAAGATGGCGCTCTCTACTCCAACTAGCAACGGTTCCCGTCGCTTTAACCCTCTCCCGTCTCCTTCTAGGAATGAGACTCCTAGGTCCGCAGGGCTAATAAGACCGACATTACCTCAAAAGAGCGTGACTACTGCTTCTATTGACGATGCGTACGTAAGTTTTATTCTCTACTGCAACCCGGCAGTACCCCTAGAAACGGATACGGCCGCGCTCAGAGAGGCCTTTCGAACTCCACCAAAGAGTGAGGGCAAGAGCTTCAGCACGTATACTTTATTCGAACTCATCAAGCAACTACACGCCAAGGAACTCAAGACGTGGGCAGAGTTGGCATTGAAGCTGGGCGTCGAGCCGCCAGATCACGACAAGGGGCAGAGTTCTCAGAAGATACAGCAGTATGCCGTCCGCCTAAAGGTAAAGTATATCCAACTTATTCAAGAGCAGCGTGACTTACCTGCAGTAGCGATGGATGCATTCCATGCACATAAATGCCTTCTTCGACTATCTGATGGACAACCCGCATCCCTATTGGACCCAGATCCCGAGTGATCCAAATCCTGTATGTGACGAGGGTAGGGATGGAGTTGCTGCTGAAGATGATATGGCCTTGCGTGCCTTATTACCTCATATCCGGCCGCGACGGGGTCGAAAGAGACCCGAGGACGACAGTTTTAGCAAATCTCCGTCGCAAAAGCCAAGGTTAGAGTCTCCGAATTTCAACGGGGAGGCTAGAACCGCGCGTCCGGACTCTTTAGATCCGTGGACCGCCCATCCGGACGGAAGAGGTGCCTTTATGTTTCCACCTGTTGATCCGCGATCGAGTGTATTGCCAGAAACGAATTCTGCCTTCCCGTGGAGTAACGATGTTTCCCGCGAGCCTATGTCGGCCTATCCCCAATCCGCGATGACGCCGTCGACGAGAGGGACGTTCTGGGGAGACCCCGCGGAACCCCGTTCGGCCATTAGTCCGTCTAAAGCTAGGTCGCTCGGTCGTCGCCACGGAGCGAAGGTAGTTTCTTCCGCTTGGAGAAGTGGTGGCGTATCCACAAGTGGCAGGCCCCGTGGGAGACCCCCTAGCAGTCGGCCTGGCGACGGTCCATTGTCAGCAATCCCAGACGAGCGTGGCGAATTTCAAACAGCGCCTTTCGAACAGAGTACGCCCCAATTAAGTACACCGCCTGCCCCAATGCACCCTCCGGATCCGGTATCAAAATCTGCCGGACCTACTTCAGCACCAGCAACCACACCAACGACAACGCCAACGACGACTACTCCTACCACTCGACCTTCCCGACCTGGCCGCCTCTCTCTGCAAGTACCGGAAAGAGCAGGCGGACCTGTCAGGCTAGCAACTCCTCCACCTCCGGTTGTAATGGTAAATGGAAAGAGCACGGTTAATGGGAGTGTATCCAACGGCACCGGCGGATTAACAGCTAGTCCTATAGAAGACACCTCGATATTCGACCATACTGCGAGTGTATTCACGGCTGGGCCAACTGATGATCCCACGGGCCCGGCCGTACAATTCGAATTCGACGATAGCGATCGGACCAACCGCGACGAGATGGAAACCTTGCTCGTCGCAGACCTCCTTGAAAGCATGTGGTACGATGAGAAAGGGCAGCTCAGCCCGCCAGCCGACATCAACGAGGCGCTCGCCCTAGCCCGGGCCATCATCGCGGGCCTTGCAAAGAGGAGCCGCACCTCGGAGGCGTTCCTAATTGCTACGGCAGCACTAGCAGGCGCCAGACACCTCCCTAAATCAAGTGGTGGTACAAATTCAGTACATCGCCTCGAAGTCGGCGTAGACTATACGCGATACAGCTACACGTGGGATCTGCGTTGCGGGCCCGCGAATGCCAGATTCCGGTTCACAGAGATAGTGCCTCATGCGCGCTGGAAGAAGGGCTCACAGCATCGGGGTGAAGGCGCTGACGTCCCAGCCGAAGGGGATGCTGCGGTAGAGTTCTGGCGCAGGAGGTATGCCGACCTCGTGCATATGGTTGGTAGGGGGAGGAGGCGCGAGGACGTGGTGTCTGTTATAAAGGAAGGCAGGGGTGGGGGATAGCGAGTGTTATTGCTATGTATAAGTATCGCTTACGGTTTACGATTTATGTATGTACCTAGCCCGAAGACGTCCTTGGAGGGGCTAGAGCGTCTGGTTTGATTTGATGGTGGTGAGCTTGTTGAGGCTCGTGTATTATGTATTGTATATTGTGTATTGTGTATTGTATTTCTCTGAGATACCCCGAGGGATCAGGTAGTTGGGTGTTTTAAAGCAGTAAAGCGAGTTAACTATGTGGTGTATAGCAAAATCCTGATACACTTTAGATGAGATCTGGGTGTGGCTATAGTTTCGTGCAAAGCAAAATACAAAGTTTATTGGTGAGATGACGGCGTACATGTGAATCGGTCTGAAACTTGCACCTGTCGTGATATGATAGTTTGACTGCAAGCCTAAGTGCAATGCTCTTTCTCTTGGGGATGTAGCAAAATCATGATACTCGATATCTTGGTATAGGTAGGTACTTACTTTTTAGCGAATAATCACTGCCTCATGTGCTACTTTACTTACTTCACTATCATCAATATGCCCTAGAAACACCATCCTAAAATCGTCTTTCCCTAAATTTATATCATACATTTTTATTATATCATATATTCTACAGAATGCTCTGGCTTCATTGCTAATTCTAACATCATGTCTGAAAAAAATGAACGGCCGCAGGTGTAAGAGCTACAAAATTGATATCTCGATAGGGGTATAATAGTATATAGGTATCCTTCGCTAATATAATCAATCTAGTCGTAAGGCCTCGATGTACCGCTACGATGCCTCGACGGAGATGGGAGTTCGCCCTGACGCAAAGGCACATATCGACCTCAACAACAACCCAAATGCTACGTCTGTGGCCTAATATCGAGGTTTAGGAGATGCCTAGCTGACCCAAGTCTTTTGACGGGGAATAGGATTTCGAACCCCTTGGCTAATATCCCTCGTGAGCATCTTCTCGATCAAGTCACTCGGTTTTCCGAATGGAATGACCTATGCGAATACGTTCCCCTCATGCGCAAGGGGGCTCTCGTTGCCAAGGATCCCGTCGGTTTCGAGGATATCGAGGGGCCGGAGGCGCTCGATGCCGAGGAGATTGAAGCTTTGAGGAGGGAAGCCACACATAAGTGGAAAGTCCCTAAGCTCCTTTATCTAACCATATTCACCTGCTCCATAGGAGCAGCTGTTCAAGGATGGGATCAAGAGGGTACCAATGGAGCCAACCTGTCGTTTCCTACCCAGTTTGGTATCGGTGGGAATTCAGACCATGATGTGCTACTCGTCGGTCTCATCAATTCGGCTCCTTATATTGGGTCGGCACTTATAGGTTGTTGGCTTTCGGATCCGCTCAATAACCGCTTTGGACGTCGAGGAACTATATTTATTTCTGCCATCATCTGCTTGATAGCCCCTATACTTGGAGCTATTACTCGGAATTGGGAACAATTTTTAATTTCGAGACTGCTTCTCGGTGTTGGCATGGGAATCAAAGCCGCAACCGTACCGATATATGCTGCTGAGAACAGCCCTGTATCTATTCGCGGAGCCTTGGTAACATCATGGCAGATGTGGACTGCATTCGGCATCTTCCTTGGATGTTCTGCTAATCTAGCATTTGGCCAAGTTGGCAAAATCGCCTGGCGACGTATATATCACCTTTTGCCGCCATTGGTCTCTATATAGCTAATAAATTCTCTATGTAGTCCAGGTCGGTTCGGCTTTCATCCCAGCAGTTCCTTTAACGTTCCTCATCTTGTTTTGCCCGGAATCGCCGCGATGGTACATCAAGAAAGGCCGGATTCGAGAGGCTATAAAATCGCTCTTACGACTCCGCAACCATCCTCTCCAGGCAGCTCGCGACCTTTACGCTATCTATTTCCAGATAGAGATCGAAGCTGAAACCATTACCGACTCGACTTACGTTGAAAGGGTCATCCAGCTCTTTACAATCCCTCGAATCAGAAGAGCTACCTTGGCCTCCTTTGTGGTTATGATAGGCCAACAGATGTGCGGTAAGTCACCTAGTATGAATCGCGAACGCTACAATTTCGGAAGCTGATGCATAATAGGTATCAATATTATAGCCTTTTATTCTTCTACTGTCTTCAAAGACGCAGGGACGTCTGATTTTAACGCCCTTCTTGCATCTTGGGGATTTGGTCTCGTCAACTTCCTCTTCGCTTGGCCAGCCATCTGGACGATTGATACCTTTGGCCGACGCCCCCTACTCCTTTTCACATTTCCCAATATGGCGTGGTCGTTACTGGCTGCCGGTTTTTGTACGCTTATCCCCAAGACCTCGGCGGCTCACACCGGCCTGGTAGCGCTATTCGTATACGTGTTCGCCATGTTTTATTCTCCCGGCGCGGGTCCCGTTCCATACACGTATAGTGCAGAGATCTTCCCGCTCTCGCACCGCGAGGTTGGTATGGCGTGGGCTGTTGCAACTTGTCTTTTCTGGGCTGCCGTACTGTCGATCACGTTTCCAAAGATCCTTGCAGCTACGGGTGTTTTGGTAAGTTCGATACGGAACCTTCTTCCGAAGTCGCAAAACCTCTTGCGCAAGCGTTATATGGAGATACTAGTCTAATACGGTGTACCAATTAGGGCGCCTTTTGTCTATACGCGGGGTTCAACATCACAGCTTTCATCATGATCTTCCTATGGATGCCCGAGACAAAGCAGCGGACTCTAGAGGAACTTGATTACGTCTTTGCCGTGCCTATGAGCGTATTTATCAAATACAATTGCACTAAGGTGGTCCCATGGTGGCTCAAACGCTACGTCTTATGGCAACGCGGGGCTGGTCTCGAACCCCTTTACCACTTCGAGAGACACGACGACGCTGCTCCACCGGATTTTGTGGTGCAGGATGAATCGACAACTGACAGCAATACGGGGACTACTTTTAACACTAGGGTGTGTGTTACTCCCCAGGACACACAGAGCAGTGCTATAACCACCGGTACCGACGCTGTTGATGTAATATATCAGGCCGAAAGAGAAGTAGCTGCTTCCCGTCGCTTCTCGTGGCACGGCCCTAGTGTTCACAGACATCCGGCTCATGCTGATACATACCCTATATATCCTATGTAGAAATCCAGATGATACTCTTTCTCTGGACCCGACTGTCTTACATCACTTTGTAAATAGAGGAACCTAGATACACTCGGTTAGGTTAGGAATCTCGCGAATCATAGCTAAGTAGAATGGCTTAAAAACGACGATATACCTAAACTTGAGTATCCAGCAGGCTTAGATGCTGTTGCTACATAAAAAATCTGCTCGACCGATAGCCTTGCTAACTACACGACCCCCCACATGGTGGTGGAGGGCGGGCGATCCTGGGTGAACAGACAGGCAGAAATGTTGGTCACACTTAGTCTGGCATTAGTCTCACCGTAGTCTGGACACTAGAAAGACATTCGTAGGGCGGCGTGATGACGATCAGCGAACGTGGCTTGCCCGGCGCGTTTTGGAATTCCGGCGTCGCGGCACTTGCGTTTCTAAGTGGATTATTCTTGATAATGATTTTGAAAGTTGGCGGGCCCTTTTTATTATTTCGTCAGTGCCTCTTCGCTGTCCGTTGTCCGCGAAGCACGGCGCACAAGATTGGCGAGGAAAGCTTGATCATTTTATTAGTGTATGCGTCGTATCAATAGTGGCCCGTTGCGATATCGATCGATCATCCCCATTCTAGCCATTCTTGCTGTTCGGCTGGAGCTGCTGGGGAGAAAGAAGCTCGGATCTCCAGATCTGCATTACCACCGCCTTTCTTAGTTGATAGTCTCCAACCTCTTGCGATCCCATCTGTCCGTGCTCGTGATCGGCCTCGTGGCAGCTGAACAACGAACTTGGATTATTCCAAGGCAGAGATTCCACGCCAACATTTTAAGAAACTATAGCGCACTACCTACCATTCGAGGCGACACGGTATGGCGATACCTATGTATACGTTGATTGGTATTTATGATTCATACCTAGGTATGTGATGTTATCGTGGGTTAGAGATCGACGTGGTACCAAGGGAAAGGGAAAGGGAAAGGGAAAGGGAAAGGAGATTTTTAAAAATTGGGACTCAATGACAACCAAGATCTTGAGCAATGATCTTCTTGTGATCTTCTTGTGATCTTGTACAACATAGACCCGTTCGTGGAGAAACAAAATAGTGGCCCCTTTTTTCTCCAAGGCAGAGTTTTTCGTCATCTCCATTGATCAAATGTGTGTCTGTGCATTAGAGCAGGTATCGATTGACCACTAGATTAGTAATTGCAGGGCTGATCCAATTGACGTTGACAAAAGGCAAGTGGAATAAAATTTTAAATTTCGCCTCTCAATTTCTGAAACGTGGGACGATGACCGGGTGACTTAAAATAAACGAAAAAGTACCTAACGAAGTAGCCTGTGTCGCTTATTGCCCATCGTAGATTAACTTACAAATTTATTGCCGTAAAGGGAATAGCGATATGTTTAACCAACTTTATTTTTTGCCACACTCTTCCCACGCACCTGCTGTGGTATACATATGTAGGTACGCATGCTGCCACAAAAGCTTCCCCTTGACTCGGGTAGGTTCTCCCGCGGTTAATAACCTGGTACATGTAGCGATTGGCCAACCACAGCTGCACGCCATTGACATCCAATTCCGCTGAAACATCTAGATTCGGTACCCCTGGATCACGTCAATGGAATATCCTTAGACAAAGTTTTACTCCGGGTATTTCTACTCTAAGGCTTCAAGGGATAGAAAACTTATAGGTACACTTGAAAGTTGAGGATAAGTTGCAACATTTTAGATGTGATACAAGGGAGTGTTTGCTTTTTGTGTACCTCAAGTACAAATTACGTAGCATATGTACAACGGTAATATCGTGGCAACATTACTCGGGTATTCGCCTATTGCTGTTACCTTCTACATAGTACCTAGATAGATTTGATAGCGCCTTCCACAATACCTAGAACTCGAACTCGAACTCGAACCCAGGTACACATACATAGGCTACTACTACCTTAGATCGATTTCCTTGTGGACCCTAGCTGCCCTCGGAGGACCTTCCAACGCGTCAATCCTCTCCACATGATTCAAAACCCCAATCGGTCCTTACATGTACATCATCTATGTAGTCCCACGAACTGCATCTTCCAGTCGTCTGGATTCGCGATCTTTCTTTTTCCTTCTCCCTACCCTCTTTCACTATATCCTCAGTCTTCAACAAATTCCTCGGTTCTCCTCTACAAGCATACTATGCTTTAGATCCTTCTCACCTCTTTTACACAGTAGATACAGGGCCGTCAGTCTTTCGTTTTGTCTGCCTCTTCTCTCCAATTCACATCCTGCCTTCTCCTAAGGACCCTGCTGTTAAATTCCTCTTTGTCTCGATCCTAATCTTTCAAACGCACCGCCCTCAGCACCCTTCCGATCGATCGCCTGGTGCCATCCCGAGGAAACAACCTTGTGTATAAACACATTCGCTTGTATATACAGCAATACCCTATTTTAAGAAAAGGGAAAAAACTTCTGAACCACGCTGCCGGGTTGCACCCAGAATCTGGACAGCTGGTTAGCTTGAATACGTTAGCACTTTACTTACAGATCTCCCCACTTCGATGTCGATCCGTTCCCCAAGAGGGTTTGTGCAACTAGGTGGCTCGCGACCCGACATGGACAACGAAATCCCCTTGACCCAAGTACGGAGCAATGCCAGTTCGACTGGTGCTAGAAAGCCCAACCAAGGCGCTGCAACCGGCTTCAGCACCGAAAACCTAAGCCCCTCCGACGACAATGAGAAGAATAGCTTCTTCCATCGTGGCCGGAGGAGAGCTAACAAAAGCGAGGCCTCTCAAAACGACAATATAGTCTCCGAGGAAGCATCTCTCAATGCTATGGGTAGGTTTTACAATAAACTTATCCATGCCTCAGTCTTCACGCGATATCTCGTTTACATTGTTCCCGTCGGTGTCCTTTTGGCGGTCCCTATGATTGTTATCCGAGCAATCGGTCAACAGGACACTCTTCAAGCTGGCCACGGCCCGCGACAGAATGATGTAAACGAAACTCCCGCTATATATGCGCCCGGCCCACGCCTCATTGACCTATTCCTATGGATAGAACTGGCATGGCTGTCCTTATGGGTTGGAAAGGTCGTTGCTCACCTTTTGCCTCCCGTTTTTATGTTTTTTACTGGTGTTGTCAGTGCTGGCACTCGCAAGTACGCAATTGTCATCCGTGCGCTTGAGATTCCGTTGTCACTCTTCTTCTGGGCATTGGCGACCTTCTTTATATTCACGGGTTTACTTAATGTTAGATTCAACGATGTTGAGTGGGTTCAGACGATGCGAAGAATCGTGGGTGCGCTCTTCGCCTCTTCGGCCGTTTTCCTCGTCGAGAAAGCCATTATCCAACTCATCAGCGTCACCTACCACCAGCGGTCCTTTGCCAACCGGATAAAGGACTCCAAACGGGAAGTCTACCTTTTGGGGTTGATGTACGACGCTTCTCGACAACTGTTTCCTATGTACTGCCCTGAGTTCCGCGACGAGGATGAGCTTATCAACGACAGTATCGAGATACTGCTGGCCGGTGGGAAGAAGGGTAGAAAAAACAGGAAGAACGGAGTAGTTACACCTATGAGGTTGATTGGGAATGTAACACGCATCGGTGACAAAGTTACCTCTGTTTTCGGAAATTTGGCCTCGGAGATTACTGGCAAGCAGGTCTTCAACCCAAACTCTGCCCACTCGATTGTCGTAGAGGCGCTCGAGAAGGTTAGGACTTCAGAAGCTCTCGCAAAGCGTATTTGGATGTCGTTTGTCGTAGAAGGCAACGAGGCTCTATTTGTGGATGACATCGTCGAAGTTCTTGGCCCCGGACACCGCGATGAAGCTGAAGAATGCTTTGAAGCAATTGACGCGGATGGGAATGGGGACATCAGCCTCGACGAAATGATTAGGAAGGTGGTTGAGATGGGAAAGGAGAGAAAGGCGATAGGAAACAGTATGAAGGATATCAGCCAAGCCTTGGGCGTGTTCGATCAGGTCCTCCTGTTCATTGTGCTGCTGATTGTTATCTTCATCTTCCGTAAGTTGCCGCCTACAGTTCTATCTTGTTAAGCTATGCAATTACTAACACGCCGTTATAGTTGCATTCTTCCAAAGTTCCTTCATTACCACACTCACCACTGCGGGCACAACCCTGCTCTCGCTTTCTTTCATTTTCGCCGTCACGGCACAGGAATTCTTGGGTTCTTGCATCTTCCTGTTTGTCAAGCACCCCTACGATGTTGGTGACAGAGTTGATATTACAGGATCGGAGAAAGAGCAGCTGGTTGTTGAGAAGATTTCCCTGCTTTACACCGTCTTCAATCGTATCGACAGGATGCAAGTCGTTCAGGTGCCGAATATTGTTTTGAACAACGTCTGGATCGAGAATGTCACCCGAAGCAAGGCTATGAAGGAGGTCATTGACATCAACGTATCGTATGATACCTCTTTTGAGGATATCGAACTTTTACGGCTTGAAATGGAGAGATTCGTGCAGGCCCCAGAGAATGCCCGAGACTTCCAGCCAGACATCTCTATTAGTGTTGCAGGTGTCGGCGACTTGGATAAGCTACAACTTAAAATTGCTATCAAGCACAAGTCGAACTGGCACAATGAGGCTATCCGCGCTACTCGACGCTCTAAGTTTATGTGCGCACTTACTCTCGCTTTGAAGAAGGTGCCCATATATGCACCTGGTGGCGGCGGTGAAGCGTTGGGTGGGCCTACAAATCCCTCTTACTCTGTTAGTGTCTCGGATTCGGACGCTGCTGCTGCTCGCGACAAAGCTGCCAAGGAAAAGGAAGAAGCCCGACTGGTGCCAATAGCACCGGCCAGGAACCCTTCGACATCTAGCAGACCCGGCAAACCTGAGGATAGAGAGGCGAAGGCAGCACACGATCTAAATACCCTCGACCCCATAACGGCAGCTGCCGACGATTGGGGTTATAATCGTGACGACTCCCCGGATCCTCGTGAGGATGCGATAGAGCGGAAACGCTCAACTGATATAGAGTCGTTACGTTTGGATCTTCATAAGCACGAGAGTCAGCGTAGTGGTCGTCGGAGGGCAGGTGAAACTTTACCTCCCCATCCTATAAGCGAGAACACGCCAAGCTTTCAGATAACCCAGCCTACGGGTCCCTATGATGAAGAGGCACAAGTGGGTGTACCGCACCCGTATAGTGCCCAGTCAGGAAATTCACTGTATCCTCAGACGTCCAACCGAACCAATCAGTCAGGTGGAAGCGGTAGACCTGAATCTCATCACCGGAATCATCGCAATCCTTATGAACAGCGTTAGAATGGCGAATTTTCTATGCTTTAATGAATCTCCTTTTTCTCATGATGAGAGATTCGATATATAGATTATGGGTCTTTGATTAAGGAAGGCGTTAAAAGAGGGTGCATTACGGGGAGCTAGATGCTCGAGCCCAAAATATGCTATTAGAAGGGCTCTACAGCCATTATGAATGCGTATGCCGGTATGGGGTATGGGGGTAAAGTGAGAGAGTGCTATGAGTCTCCGTATAGAAGAGCCTGCTAAGGTGTGAGTGACTATTCACTATTAGCTAGAACACTCCTGGCAAATAGAAGTTGTACATTCCTACAGTTTCTCTAGTATTTATGTGATTTGTCTGTGTTTAGTAATGCGATGTTAGGGGATCGCAAGCTGTAGTGAAGACCATTAAGTGACATTGGCGCTGTTATTTTATGTTGGAATATTGTTATTCGGTCTATCATCCTACATTCCTACATGAATCATGTAAACTTCGGAATCTGCAAAGTACCTAGACAATAACCAGCGCAGAGAGCAATGCTCCTATAATACCGAGCGTCTAAAACCCACTTCACATTCCGAATATCGCACCGCTAAGTACGGTTATTGCAGGTAGCTACCTAGCTACGTGACCTATCGCCCCTTTTCCTTTTCATTCGAACACCTCTTTAATGTAAAAACCAGGTCTGTCCCTTATTTCCGTTCCACGTAACCTTGATAGCCAGGCCGCGCGCGTGATTCTCGGGGATCGAGAAGGTGATCTCGCCCTTGATCTCGTCGCCGTTCTTCATGACCAATGCATTCTTCTTCTCATCCGATTGCGACTTCGGCGGCTTGCATATTAGTAGTCCCTGCCTCCAGTGCGTCTGGCGGCCGTACGGCGACGTCGTAAATGCCACCCGGTTCTGCGGGTCGGCGGCGGCCCAGGCTGAAGCTGTGGAGCTGAGGTCTACGCTGCTGAGCGCGGAGTCCCGGACGGGCGAGAAGAACATGTCGAACCAGATTAGATACCCGTCTAGCGCGTCGATGTCGCGCGCTAAGGCGGTTGCGAAGGGCGCTGTGAAGGAGAGGTCGGCGGTCTGGACTTGGTATAGGTCCAGCAGCTTGAATGCGCTTGGGGGCGCGGGGATGGTGCTATCTGCGTCGGAGGGGGGAGACGACGAGGGCCAGGTGAGCACGCGCGCTTCGTCGTAGATGCCGGCTTGCATGGCGTGCATGTCGAAGCCGTAGACGTCGCGCCAGAAGCTGACGTTATCGGCGATATACTGGGGATCTGCGACGGGCGCGAGCCAGATGTTCGCGTGCGAGGGCACCAGCAGACCATCTGGTTTGAGGTACTTGTCACGGGCGAAGAGCACGGAGGGCAGCATAGCTTCGAAGAGCAGACAGTACCCCATCCATTCGCTGACGATGATGTCGACCTCGTCGACGGGCAGGGCGACTTCCTCGATGCGCCCGTGCACGCAGGTTATGACTGAGGATAGGTTGTTGTGGAAGATGTTCTCTTGCGCTTTAGTGATGATGGCGCTGGCGTCGACGGCGATGACTTTGGACGCGCCGGCGCGGGCGCAGAACATGCTTAGGATTCCTGGGGTGGGTGGTTAGGTTGGATGATACATACATACTACATATATAGACGGGATGAAGGGGGTAGGTAATGAGATAAAGTAGAAGGGAGAGAGGTATAAGACTTACCGGTGCCGCACCCTATGTCCAGCACAGTTTTGCCTGCGAAGAGGTGCTTGTTGTTGTAGATGAAGTCCCGGTATGCGTCGGTGCGTACCGCATCCTTGAGCATTGTCTCGTGGATATCTAAGATAGACAGTTGTTAGCAGAGAACCATTTATATACTGAGATAGGCATATTGCTTAAGGTAGAAGATAATTGGTATATGATGATTAGGTAGATGCTTACCGGCTCCGGCATAAGATTCCCAGTAGGACTGAGAGTCGTCCTTCTTCTCACCAGCCTCCTTTCCCTTACCCGCCTTGACAGCAGCAGCAGATTCGGCCTCGGCCTGATCGACGTCTCCCCAGCGCTCGTCGAGCGTCTGCTGCACAGCGACGCGATAGCTGTCGAACTGGGTCTTGACGCGGGCTAGCTCCTCCTGGAGCTCACTGTTGCGCTTCAGGAGGCCGTCAACCAATGCGGCGTTTTCACCGCTGTCGCCATTGCTATTCTGCACTGCTGGCTTGAGCTCCGGCAGGTCGAATAGCCCCAGGATGACGGCGTCGTCGTCTAACACCGGTTTTAGGTACTGCTCATGGTCAATGTCGGACCACGAGATGTCCTCCGTTACGGACAAGCCCTCGTGCACCCGCTGGCGAACTATTTGAGCGTTAGAAATGAAGAGATGATATTAGGAATAGGGTTGGATGATATGGCAAACGGCGGGGGGGCAGAGCAATATTAATAGGTGTAATCTAAGGATTTAATACGTGTAGGTATATATGAAGCCTCTTACAGCCTCTTACACAGTACAACGATACAACGTGACATGAAAACGAACGACAGAAAAATACATAAGAATAAAACAAATAGACTTACTGAAATTAACAAGCTTAACGCAGCCGTGGAAATCAAGCTGCAATCGCTGTCGAACGCCCAGGAAATCAAAGCCGTGCTTCTCCCTGCAATGCGCAAGCATAGACATGACATCAGGGAATACCCGGTCATCAAGCAGCGAGATAACTTCAAGGGTCTCTTCCTCATCATCATCTTCTTCCTCGGCATCGCTCCAATCCTCCTCGTCCCGCGAGTCCGAGTCCTCCGACTCGCTCGCCGGGTGGCGGTCCGCGACTTTGCTTGGCGCGGCGCTCATTGCGGGATACCTTGTTCTGTACCTAAAATTGTATGAGATATTGGTGGCGGTGCTTGAGTAGAGGGTTGAGAAGAGGGAGGAGGATGATGATGATGATGATGATGGGGATGATGAATGCGAAAAGTGGAAAAAGCGACAAAAAAGAATTTGGGTTTTAGGGTATGAGTGAGTCTAAATACCTGAGCTATATCTTAAATGCTGCCTTGGGGTTCTTATGTATTACCATGGGTTTTAATAGACACCAATTATTTGTTTGATATAAACCTAGATATTATAATAGCTGGTGGCCGTTTTTAATATCACGACTCTCTTAAGAATTTCTTATAATTGTGGAAATATCCAAGTACAATAGCGGCACGGATAAGTACATATGTACATAATACTTTAGGTCATCTATGTGCTATATCATACGCGATATTTGCATATAAACTAGTGTTCACCGTAGTACAATAGGTAGTTACTTAAGATACTTAAGATACTTAAGATAGGGGTAAGCACTTTAGAACAATGCCTCAAGCTCATTGCCTTCTCCTAAATTAGGGTATCGGTACTCCTGACTGTTGGACCAACTACAAGGCTCCTTAACATCTTAACATACCTGTGGGCTATATTGAGGACGTGTCGAATAAATACACCTAGTCCACTTCGTTATCTGTATCGTCATCATCATTGTCATCGTCATCTTCGTCGTCGTTTTCATCTTCGCCGTCTGAGACGGTCTCGCCTAGATCAACAAGTCGTTTCTACAAGGATCCAATTTAGCATATGGAAGAGTCACGACGCAAATTCATTTGGGGCTATTCATGGGAAGCGTGCGTACCTTATACTTCTCAACCTTTTCTTCCAGGTCGCCGAAGACCATAAGAAGATCGTCAAGCTCGGTTTGAGTGGCCGATTTCTGCTCCTCCTTTTCTTCTAACTGCGTGCGAGACTGATGCGAGGAATTAGCATACGCTCTTACCATACTTATTATAGTTGGAATGGCGTTTAAAGTACCTTCTCTAACTCTTTACCCTTTTGCGCCAGCTGCTTTTCAAGATTTGAACATCGCTCTTCGGCCGCCTTTGCCTTCGACTGTGCAGCTGACAGCTTGGCAGCAAATTCTTCTTGGGCGGTGTGGAGTTCTTCGGTTTTCGCTTTATTTGCCTGTATTATATTGTTAACCCACGTACTAGATGAGTTTTATACTTATACCTACTTTCATGAGGTCTACTTCTAGACGACTGATTGTAGCTCGAAGGTCTGCCATTTCTGCCTCGGATCGCCGTTGAATACGTGCCGCCTCGGCATCAGCCGTTTTTCGGATATATTCCAGCTGTCTTTGTAATTCTGCTTCTTTCTCACGATACTCAGCATGGATGGCATCCGCAGCTTTAGCTGCCTCTTTCCGGACAGCTTCTATTTGCTTTTGGTAGGATTCATCTCTTGATCGCTGTTGTACCTCGATTTTTCTTTATACGTTAGGAAGAACTCTACCACATCTGTGAAGTACTTACTTGATTTCCTCGGCGTGGTTTTGTTGAATGGCTTCATTGACACTCTTTATCCGTGCTAAATCCGCAGCAGAGGCTTCTTTAGTTCGACGATGGTCAGCTTGTTCTTGGCCAAGCTTCCCGTTGAGAGAGGCCATATCGGCAAGCGCTGCTTGTAACGCTCGTTCCTTTTCGTCGACTTGTGCTCGTAGTAAGTCTACCATCTCACGAGATATGCCTTTCTGAACACCGTTGGTTACTACTGAAATCTCCATGCCTGGGTCACGGTCGATAGCCCTTATAATGCGGCTATAATTGTCCTTGAAAAAATCCACAAAAGTCGCGTCAAAGAAAACATCTGGTAAATTACCCCCGCTGTCTGCTTTCTGTGGGATGACCTCGAAATCCCTCACGAAAGGATGACTTCGTAATTTATTTAGAATATCGATAAACCTATCTCGGCCCATCCGAGACGTGAGAACAGAGTGCAAAGTCGAGCGAGGAATCGGTGAGTCTTTCGTAGAGAACTCATAGACAACCCCGAGGAGCATAGCACATAGCCCCTGGACAATGATGCTGCTTGAATTATGCCGTACAACTTCTTGCGCTAAGGCTTGAATGTTGCTGCCCTCACCTAAGAAGTCGTTGACCCCATCAAGATCCTCGAAGAGCCATGCTATCAACAACATCAAATAACCCACAGAAATACGGTCGTCGTCGGATCTAGCCAGTCCGCTGACGAGATGAGCGGTAATGGTTTGAATGCTTGTTACGACTTCTTCGCCGCTATCCGCATCGCCTTCTGTCACGGACATTGCGAGAGCTTTCGCCTCGGCGTTTTCAAAGACCAGGTGAAATGTGATAACGGCTGCAAACCAATGCCGATAGGGATCTACTGAGTCTGGGCCATTAGACGGTCGAAGCAGGGTAGTTAGAACATTAGCTGTTTCGTCTACGCCGGATGCGTGACCCTCGATTGCTCGGCGTAGAAAATGTAGGCGAACTTCAGGATGGTTGAAGAAATATGCTTTAATGCATTGGCATGCGGCTAGCCGCAGGTCGAACGCTTGGGTTGTAGATACGCTCAGGGTAAGATCTAGGAGACCGTCGATCACATAGACGGCCGGAATACCATTTGCCTTCCCAGTCTGCCCGTTGGTTGGCGGTGCCGTCTCTAGCACCGATGGGACCTGCAGTTGTGCGAACGTTTCTTGTAGCTTAGAATTACCTCTGATAATATCCGCGCAAGTAGTTAAAGCCTACGTCACATATGTAAACAAATAATGCACAATATTGATGAGACGGGGAGAACCTCGCACCTCTGCTCTGATAGACATCTCTGCATCATGGCTAAACGCAAGTTGTAAAGCGTGGTAAAGGACACCATGCTGCCAAAAGGCCGCCTGATTTTGGGATGTTCCTACAGCACCAGGCACGAGGAAGAGGCGGATGACTGCGAGTAGAGCATATATGTTTCTGTTGCGCTGTTCCTGAGCCCAATGGGCAACATCCTCCTCCCCCTCTTTCCCGGTGCGATAGGTGCCCTCTAAAAGCTTTGCTAACTGTGGAATATAGGCCTCTTCACGGAATAAGGACTGATTCGAGGGGTTTAGGCGTAGAAGGTTGGCGAGAAGAATCAGACAGTCCTCAACTATCCTATCGCCCTCGGAAAGCGACCCTTCGGCTGCTATAATAGTGAAAACCCGCCCGAATATATTTGAGAAAGCCACGAGCTTCTGAATATCAGGGGACGAAGGTGTCAGGTAGGTAAGGAGGGTTAATGCTTCGTTCCGAACAGCCTCCCTCCTATCGTCGAGAACAGCGACTAGTCTAGAAATACCAAGAGGCGCGGTAAAGACGCATATTTCGGTTCTTTCGGTGCGGGCTGAGAGGATAGCGAGGAGAAGCTGCAAAGAATATAGGCGTGAATAGAACTCGTTGGTCTCGAGGAAATCTAAGAGCAAGGTTATGTTTTCCTGCCGTTGCGTGAACTCGTCTGCTAACCAGAGAGCAATCTCTTCAGAAGCCTCAGGACTATCTTGGTTGGGGTTGAAAAGCATTAGCAAAGTCTCCAGGACCACTTTGACGGTGTCGACATCTTCGCCGTCTTTTGACAAGCTTCCGATGAGACTTCTCAGAGCGCCGGATGCAACTGAAGCAGGATACTCTTTAGCGAAGCTTCGTAGGCCGAGAATAGCAGCGCGGCGGTCTTCGAGAAGGGTAGCTGAGCTGAGACGTCCGCTGAGAACGGTTATTGTCTCGCTAACAGACTGCTTCGCGGGAGCAGAGGTGATGGTAGAGAACATGGTTCGTGCTGCTGCTGCTCGATCTCGCGGTTACGCATCAAGTCCATTGGTAAAAAGTGCTACCGACTTAGGAGCATCGTACCGTCGAAGGTAAGGGGTAAGATATCGGATCGGATCGTAGATTAGCGCCTATGTTATGCGCAGTGTTGTTGTTAGGTAGGTAAATGCGAATGCTTGTTGAAGGAAAGACTATGTACCGAGACTAATAACAGCTAACTGCAGGTGCGTTAACATATTTTGGCCAGATATCGATAACTGCCTACTGATAACAAGTGGTACTTAGCATTTTGAACTGTCCCTAGCCCGGTACTAGTTGAGGTACTTACTAAATCTTAGCGCAAACTTAGTCCTAGACGCTGGTTAAGTTTCACTTAGCCTTCATAATGCATTTTAGAGCGAGTAAGCTACCGGATATACACATATGGAGCTGCCTGATTCTACTAAAGGCTAAGTTCTTTAAAAAGCGGCGCTAATCCCCAAGTCCCGACGTAATCACTTATCGGATAGGTTAGAGCAGTGGGCAAAACGGTTTCTGTGGGTCCTGCTGCGAACTCCATCTTCTGGTTGTGACAAGGGTCTAATCCGGGCTCGCGACTTTGAATGAACTTTTGCGCCGCCGAATCTTTCTTCCTTCTTCAACGTCTTTGTGCCCGCCACAACTTCAAACAACCGCGAACATATATCGACGCGGAATTACGGAGGTGCGCTTGGCTAATCGGAATTATAGCATAGTTAATTTCGATGCGTCACCATTAGATTCGATCTCTTTTTTTTTTTCCCCTACTCAAACCAGCTGTTCAAGTCCGAAAGTTAGTGAGCGAGGCGTTGTCTCTTGACTATTAATCGACTTCGTCCAGTTTGAACTCACAGACAAACTGGATCGACGCGTTTGTTATGCCTCATGCGCCTATCTCTGATATCAATTTCTACACTCATCTTTCCCTCCGCTCCTTCAGCTTCCTCGAGAAGTCGACGTTCAATATTTAGCCCGGGCTAGATTTCTGGTTTATCACCTTAGGCAGCTTTCCCTACCTCATTATCGCGTCCGGACTTTACTTTATTAAGAAATTCGCGACGTCAATACCGCCAATATGGGTATTCCGGCTGCTTTTCGATGGCTCTCCAACAAGTACCCCAAGATTATATCTCCTGTCGTGGAAGACAGGCCTATCGAGATGGATGATGGCACGGTTATTCCTGTCGACACCGCGCGACCAAACCCAAACGGCGAGGAATTCGATAATTTATACTTGGATATGAATGGTATCGTGCATCCCTGTTCTCATCCAGAGGATAAGCCCGCTCCAAAAGACGAGGAAGAGATGATGCTGGAGATCTTTAAGTATACCGACCGTGTGGTTAACATGGTTCGTCCGAGAAAGCTACTCATGATCGCCATTGGTAAGCCATCCACTATCTGCCATTACCCACTATTGTATTTGCTAACATTATATTCCAGATGGTGTTGCGCCTCGAGCCAAGATGAACCAGCAGCGATCTCGACGGTTCCGCTCCGCCCAAGAAGCCAAGGAAAAGGAAGCTGATAAGGAGGAACTATTGAAGATGGTCAAGAGGCAGAATGGTGGTGAATTGCCGCCGGAGACACTCGAAGCAGCAGCGAAGAAAGTCTTCGATTCTAACGCTATCACGCCTGGTACACCTTTTATGGATATACTAGCAATGAGTTTGAGGTATTGGTGTGCCTATAAGCTTAACACTGACCCTGGATGGGCTAATATGAAAGTCATCATCTCCGACGCTACAGTACCTGGTGAGGGCGAGCATAAGATCATGAACTTCATTCGCTCCCAGAGAACGTCCTCTGATCATGATCCCAACACGAGACATGTTATCTATGGATTAGATGCTGACTTGATCATGCTTGGACTCGCTACCCATGAGCCTCATTTTCGTGTCCTCCGAGAAGACGTCTTTTTCCAGGATGCGAAAGCCAAAACTTGCCGAATCTGTGGCCAGAAAGGTCATGATGCGCAAAATTGCCGTGGTGCAGCCAAGGAGAAAGATGGTGAATTCGATGAAAAGGATAAGGCTGCCCCCCTGAAGCCGTTTATCTGGCTCCATGTTTCAGTCTTGCGAGAATATCTAGCCGTTGAGCTTGACGTACCCGGACTCCCGTTCCGGTTTGATCTTGAGCGTGCTATTGATGACTGGGTGTTCATGTGCTCCTTTGTTGGTAACGATTTCCTCCCTCATCTCCCTGCCCTTGAAATCCGCGAGAATGGTATCGACACGTTAACTGCCATCTGGCGAGATAACTTACCTGTCATGGGTGGGTTCGTCACTAAAGATGGGCACGTGAATCTCGAAAGAGCCCAGTACATTCTGAATGGCCTGGCGAAGCAGGAGGATGCCATTTTCAGGAGACGAAGAGAGGTTGAGCAGCGAAGAGAAGCTGGCTTTAAGCGACGAAAGCTTCAAGAGCAGAGGAATGGACGTAACGGTAATCAAGGCGGTCGAGGCAATAGGGGTGGTGCTAATAGCTCCCTTCCCGGTGGTCTTCCCCAGGGTCTTACTCATGATATGATCGTCAATAGAGGAGCTCAGGATACTAATGTGGCGAATAAGAGCGCTGCGGCGGTGCTCAAGAGCCAGATCCAATCACTTCAATCAGAAGCGAGTACCAGTGTCCCCCAAGAAGACGGCGCGGATGCACAGGAGTCGCCTTCTGCTCTTGGTAAACGTAAAGCGTCCGCGATAGAGGAGGATAACCCGAGCACCCCCGCAAGCAGTTCGGCAGCAGCCGAAGAGCCGGAAGACTCGGTCCGGCTATGGGAAGAAGGCTATGCTGACAGGTATTACGAACAAAAGTTTCACGTCGACCCGAAGGACATCGAATTCAGGCGTAAGGTCGCCCGAGCTTATGTCGAAGGTCTTGCTTGGGTCCTAAGATACTATTTCCAAGGGTGTCCGTCATGGGAATGGTTCTACCCTTATCACTATGCACCTTTTGCGCAAGACTTTGTGGACATTGGTAACATAGAGATCAATTTCGAGAAAGGTAGAATCGCAAAACCCTTCGAACAGCTCATGAGCGTCCAGCCTGCCGCGTCTCGTCACGTTCTCCCCAACATCTTTCACGAGCTCATGACAGGGGCGGATAGTCCTATTATCGACTTTTACCCTGAGGAGTTTGAAATCGACCTTAACGGAAAGAAGATGGCATGGCAGGGTGTGGCGCTTCTTCCGTTTATTGAAATGCCTCGACTACTTGCTGCCGTAGAGGAGAAATATCCTCATTTGAGTGCTGAGGATGCAGCCCGCAACAGCCCTGGCAAAGATGTACTTTTACTTTCCGAGGCCAACCAGGAGTTGTACGACGACATTATCACACATTTCTATTCCAAGAAACAAGGCGAACCCATACATAAACTCGACCCGCGTTTGAGCCAAGGCCTGTCTGGAAAGGTAGAGAAAGTTCCCGAGTATCTGCCTCATGGCAGTTTAGAATATCCACTAGAGAGGAAGCAACTGCCCCCCGTGGACGATGATCGATCATTAACGTAAGTTTTTAAGCTCCTATAACAAGTTACAAATTTTGATTTCTAATTATAATGTCTACAGAGTCTATTATGAAATTCCAAGTGCGAATAATCATAAGTCTATGCTCTTGCGAGGCGTTCAGATGCCCAATCCTGCACTTAATCGCAGCGATGTTGAAGAGCTGAAGGGGAAGATGCGAAATTCGGGCCGAAGCCATGGAGGCGCACCTCTTGGGCGTCAGGGTGGTTGGGATGGCAATAGGAGGGATAGGATTAATTACGGACCAGATTCTCGACGAGATAGATCTGAACGGCCACCGTCATACCAAAACGGCTACAACAATTCGTATTCTGCTCCCCCTCCAGTCCCACCTCCCGGTTGGGTACCGCCACCTCCCGGTTTCCCGGGATTCGGTAATGGACTGCCGCCGCCGCCGCCGCCGCAGGCAGGTACCTATATTGGTAACCAATTCGCTGACCAATACGGCGGGAACTACGGAGGAAATCGCGGTGGAAACAACAGAGGTAATTACGGAGGGGGCCGTGGTGGAAGTTACGGAGGTCCTCAAGGACACGGAGGAGCGTACCCTCCGCCTCCGCAAGGTCAAAACAATTATGGTGGCCAATATAATCGGCCCCCCCGTGATAATCGGGACTATCGACAGTACGATAACCGAGGTGGTTATCAAGGCAATAATTCTTATGGCAATGGGTACAGATGATGGGGAGGAATGACAAGTAATCAAACTCTCTACGAGACGGTGTAGTGTATTAAAACGAGCTAAATCGTATTGTCTTGATTAAATAGCTTAAATAGCTTAAATAGCTATACTAATCTCGCTTAATCATGAGTCCGGTTGCTACTTGAATAAACTTCTTGTGCCCCTAATCTCTTCGTTCTCGGTTTCTTTACCATTAAATAGCCCCACCAGTGTCCATACGTACCCGATATATTCTAAAAATACACCACGTTTCGTGTATTTGATTTAGAAAAACATTCTTTCAAAATGCAAGACTCTAACCTGACGCTAAACCTTGCACATGTCAGGCTTATAAGAGTCTATTCGTAATATATCTAAAGATACATGTAAAAGTACGGAAGCACGAAATTCAAAAGGGCCGGGCCGTGGCGGATGCCAAGCAGATGGATAGCTGCAAACAAAAAAAAAAATTTGGTTTCGAAATTCTCACGATGATCCCCTTTCCTACACGCGAGACGCACGTAAGAAATATCGGCCGCGGTCTCACCTTAAGAGCGACCTATTACGATATAGCTTGCGTGACTTTTAGCAGGGGCTAAAGAATTCGGGAATAATATTGGACCATTTGGAGGCTCACTTGGGGACTACCCCGCTAAAATACATCACCGCTCCCTATTACGCTAGACCTCGTGGGCACTTAGGCCGGCACTAGACAGGCTACTACCCTGCGCCCTACAGCGCTTCAGACGTTTTTTAGCTCTCAAAACGAAGGTAAGAGAAGTTGCGACTTGGCAATTTCACTCCACCATTCAACTTCCTGGACACTTCCATTCTACACCTGGACCTCTCCTTCCACTATAACACCTCTGTTAGTGCATATATGTACCTAGCTTTAGCGTTGATAGGTACTACATAACCTATACCTATGTACCTATACTACCTAGGTAGGGTATATACTACTTATATTACCCACCTGCACGTACCTAGCCTACGTATGTACATGTAGTACTACATTACACAAGTATGTATGTAGTAGGTACCTAAGGTTGCTTGCTTCAATGTTCTTTCAACCCACGCCCCTCCTACATGTAGTAACTGCCCATACCTTCTTAGTTCGGCTGGGGGTCGTTTTTCTACTGAGACCACATTGTCTCGTTTGTGCCTTGTGCCTTGTGCCTGTTCCTGTGCCTGCGTAGACTTTAACCTAGCTCCAACGACACACTATTGCAGTAGCACAAGTAAGTCGGAAATACTCATTCGACGAGAAGAATAAACAATAAATAATTCCGTCCTTTGTCGCCGCTCTTTATCTCAGATCCTATCGACCGGCCCCGCCCCGAACCTGGTGTATGTCGATCCTAAAGTCCCAATATTATTATATTTATTAAGTTAAGACGATATTCCCCGTCTTCAAAGTTCGATAACACTCGAAAGATTCTCCAGAAGAGAAATACCCACACAAAAAAAAGACCTACGGGCCTCTTTTCCATACTTACCTGTTCTTGAAAATCTTACCGGTTTCGGCATACGCTACGTTGGGGGAGCGATTGAGCGATTGAACCAAACTTACTATTCCAAGAAGAGCGTAGGACGAATCTGGCGTACAGCCGAATCCTAAGACATCCATATACGTTTCGCAAACGAGCTATAGCCTTCATCGATACCTCTTCCTTACCGCTAGCTGTGCTCCATGACGACGCCACAATGTTGAGAAGACCCTCAATCGCGATCCGACGGTATACGAGCACAAGATGAACGGTGATGCGGGCCTTGTTGGATGTTTAGTCGAAAGACTTACAACTAGGGTAATTGGGAACCTCCTCTCCTCCTCTCCTCCACGTAGCATCGTAGCCTACTACCTAGCTTACTACCCATTGCCCATTAGCCGTTCTGTATAGTGTCGTGTTGTTGCTAATGAACATCTCCACGCACAGCTTCCGCATCGTACCGGTACTCCAGGTCAAGACCTCGAACGCGACGACGTCGCTGTTATCACGCGCGCTACGCTCGTAAAGATCAGCGTCACATCTATCACTGCCGTACTCGAATCACTTATCTCACTTCTAGAAGAGCTTAGTCGTCCGTATAAGACATTCGCAAGCCATCCGTCCCATATCCTCCTGTCCGAAGTTTACGTCCTATCGCTTACCGCCGATTGCTGTTCTGCTCGTTGGGAACCATTCGGTAAAGCTAGCTCCAATGTCCCAATCGGCCTATCCGCCTCCGGGCTTAATGCCCCGGGGCCGTTGGATGACGGGCTCGTGACTAGGATATTCGAGCTTTTCAAGCACCTCCTTAAACCATTCCCCGATGGCTACTGTTTACCAGCCAGGACAATATTGGATGAGAGATCTGCACGGGAAATCTTCGATGCTCGATTTGGAGACCCGACTACTCGAGCCACCTCGTCAAGCGGCTCGGATGACTCTCGGGAAAGCAAGGTAGTAAAAAGCGACGATGTAGAGGACGTTGAACCATATATCAAGACTATCGTGGAGTTCGTGACCGCGTCTAGCTGGTCGGCCTCCTTTGAAAATGTGAGAACCAGCATCCAAGGAATTAGGACCACAGGTGCGACGACGCAGGTGGTTCCGACCCTAGCGATGGCCGAGGAAGAGAAGACTTCGTTAGTGATACTACGTTTAGTCTCGTATATGTGGGTTGACGGCCAGAAGCTTGGACTTGTAATCCAAGAATTGTGCTCCAGCTTCCTCCACTTTCGACGAGCTTACCAGAATACGATTGCCGTTATCACGCCGCTCCTAATAATCGGATGGATTGAGCGCTATCCTAAGGAGTTCGTCACGTTGCACTATCAACATAAGAAGTTGGAGGGTGGTGCTGATACTCTATTTGATATGACACAAACGATAGCCGATAGTGGGAAACGGCGGTCAATATTGTTCCCCTTCCAAACCTCTCTGCTCATGCTGATTCCCGATGTATTTGAAGTAGCAAGTAATTTACGGGAAGCGAAAACTGGTGGCATGACTAAGAAAGTTGGGTTTCTTGAAGGGTTAAGAAAAGCGCTCAGGAACAAAAACGACGCGGCTGGGTATTGTCTTGTTAGCCTTCTCCGAGCCGTCCGCCATTTCGACGATGATGGAGACGCTGCAATTGTAAGTTATGCCATGGATGTTCAGGATGAAGTCCGGGACGCTGTTTTTCGACGGTACCAACCTAATGGGGAGGGATCTTTGTTCGATCAAGACTTGACTACTGCAGCCTTCATTAGTCTTACGCATTTGAACTTTGAGGGCTCCGTAGAGTCGCTGACACAATCGTGCCTTCATTCCGCCGCGCCAACTACTTTCAAGATCGCAATTATCCAAGCGTGCTCGTACTTTGCGCGGCAGCCCAACGCCCAGGACTATCATCGATTGTTTACCGAGGCCGCCGGGTATATACAGAGCCAAATGAAGGTTAGAATTACCTCAATGTAAAATACCTATATAAGCAAGCAGACATACTGACTCTCTCTAGGCGACGTCCGCTCTTTCGGCGGATTTATACATAGGAGATCATCACTCGCAGTACAAACCCTCCGAAGCTGATTCGTCTACGACTATATTAGTATGCAACGTACTAAAATTCCTAGATGCCTCTCCAGAAACCCTATTTGAAGCTCCGCCGGCAGACAGTGCGGAAGAGGAGCAATTCTATGAAGGAATCTTTGAAGCATTCGTGTCTTGTCTTGTAACAGCGAATGACTCTATCAGGGCCCTCGCTAGTAACTTGGCTAGGAAACTGCTGGCTCCGAATGGGCTTCTCTCTTCATTACGCAAATCAAGACGAATAGACTCGCACAGCTTCGGGGTCAAGTTCTGGAAGTTGACGTAGGTCCAAGTCCTTAAGCCCTAAGATATATGCTATAACTGATGACCGGCTATAGATCGCTTGTCCTGATGGAAATGTGTGAGAAGCTCGAACAGCAAGGAGAGGGCTCGTTGCTCAAGTCCATTCACGGATACCTTGAGTCGCGTCTACTGCTCCTGAGTTCAATAAAGGTAGGATCAGGAACCGGGAAGTTTGCTTAATAGTCTATACTAACATACTTGTAGGAGCTGTGTGTAGTATCCGAGGACATTCCGGAACGCATAGCGTCCTCGACGAAACTCGAGACTCTCTTCCTAACATCCCTTTGTTCGGCAGACATAGAAACAAGCCAGTTGGTAACGTCTTGTATTGGGCTCTTTAACGAAGAGTGCCGCATTTTGGATTCCACTGTAGATGCAGGCAAGACCGCGAATCTATTGCTCCGGAATAGCGAAATCTTCAGCGAGATCGCTTCTCCCGAATTCCGATTCACAGGAATGATGGCTTTCCAAAAACGGACACGTGCCCTATTAAGGCGCATGCAATATCCAAGTGTGGGTATTCTAGAAGCTTGGGAGAAGGCATTCGACAAGTGGCTTCACCTCTCGAAAGATGTGTCTACGACATCCGCAGAGAACGTCGACGAGAGGCGCTTTTCTGAGTGGAGGAACCTATCCGGGTTCCTCGCGTCGCTTGGTGGTATTTGCACAGCTGAGCAAGCTTATATTATGGATGAGCCTGCTGCTAGTGGTCTCAAGTGGATTGATCGACTTTCGTCAGAGAACCACGAGGAGCCCCTTCTCAACAGATACCTCCAACTTAGTACTCAGCTACTTGCGTGTACCAACGTGCGAGTTAGGGAAACCACACGGGAGGTCTTATCTACTGACATATCCCCAAGCTTATATCAGCCTTTATTTAGGGCACTCGAATCGGAACTTGAAGTGCTCTTCACGGGTGCCCTCGAAACATCGAGTAAAGGACAGGACGTTGAGATCATATTCGCCGAGCAAGCTGCATCATTATTGAAGGCTTTAATAGAACGATTACAGACGCCCTCCGAGCTAGGAGCCGCATCGTCGATCAATTTTGGCTCCCTCGCGTTGAGCTTCGCAAAGTTTCTAGATGGTGTGGCCGATAACGTAGCTAGCCTACGAGTCAAGATCAAGATTTGTCAGATGTGCGAGTGTGTTAATAGGAAGAAGGAGCACTTAAACCTACGCGATGACGTTCGGAAGCGAAATCAGCTCCTGGAGTATATCTTTAGTTGGATTGCTAGGCCTCGCTCACCACCTACAGACGGCAGCTACACGCAGCTTCATCAGGATAATGCG